TTTTGGAGCTTTGGTTCTTGTGGTATTTACCCTAGTTTAGTCAGTTGTTTCCTCCTTACCTCGATGAAGATGGCTAAACCTGAAAACCTTTACTACCTAATCTGACCTTTATAGTTGCCTGGTATGATGTACAACAATGAAATACCAGACACTTACATGGTCTGTGTGGTAGGATGGTTCAGTTGTAGATTGTAGTTAGCCGGCTCATTTATTGCAAGTTGGGCTTACGTTCAGTTTGTCTGCTTCTGTTCGTTTGCCCCTCCCCTTCCTGTTACGACAGTTGGGGATGCTTCTTGCCTGTTGTTTGGTCTGCAACTCTTGCCTAACTTGTGGAGCTGTCTTCGGATGGTCCTGCCTGACGCTTTTCTAACTTGATTGGACTTTAGCTATGCTGGGTTGGAAGGTGGGGCTGGTACCAGTATCTTTGGATCTTGGTGCTGCTGGCTTCCAGCTATTGCTGGAGGGCCCTCTTTGGCTATGTAGTATTGAGGGATAGGGCTCTATTAGTTTTGCCAAGACTAGTGGGGCCCTGTAGCATCTGGTGTATGGGGCATGGAGTGGACTGACTTGGGGGGGAGAGGTACAGTCGTGTCTATTTAATAATTATACTCCTGCCCAGCAACTACACAATACCATCACCCACTTATCCCACTGGCAACTATGGCTTCTCCTCACTCTACCCGAGTAAAAGAAGATTGGAATAAGGAAATTTATGCCTTGTATAAGTATACAAATATTAGGTATAATAAAATAGCAAAGGCTATTGGGGTCTGCAAGGCTACTATTTAAAAGATAATCACTAGAGTCAAAATAAGAGGTCGAGATACCCTTTATGCTTCCAAGCAAGGCCAACCCACAAAGATTACTGATGCCAGAAGAAGAAAAGTAGAGGCTATTATCAATGCCAAGCCTCATCTAGCGCTATGCGAAATTATCTAAAAGGCAAATATTGGTCTCGGCAAGATTACTATTGACAAAATCATTTCAGAAGTTGGTTTTAAGCTTCTGATACCAAGGAAAAAGTCTTTTTAGAGAAGAGGACAGAAGGAGAAGAGAAAGGAGTTTGCTAGAAGAAGGAGGAACTGGAGAGGGGTATGGAATTGGATGATTTTTGTTGATGAAGCTACTATTATCGATGATCCAAATCCTGTTGGGAGAAAGGTCAGGATAAGAGCTGGTTGAGAGCTGGAAGAAAAAAATTTGAAGCCTAGCTTTAAGTCAGGAAGGACTAGCATTGGTATCTATGCTGCAATAATGAAGGATGGGAAGACTGAGTTAATTCTTATAAGAAAGAGGAGGGAGGAGGAAAGAACTAGTAAAAGAAATAGACTTGGCCTTAATTCCTACCAATATGCAACTGAGATCAACTAGCCATACCTTATCCCTTTTATAGAAGGTCTGGATAGACCTTCTGACAACATCTACCTAGCTGCAGATAATGCTTCCTGACATAGTGGTAAGGAAAATTGAAAATTGCAGGCAGACTGTGGTTACAAAAAGCTCTCCTAGCCACCCAACTCTCCAGATCTCAATCCTATTGAGAACACATAGACACTACTCAAAAGAAACCTCAGATAGCAATTCTCCAGATTGGAAAGAAGGCCCCATAGTACAGCTGAATTATTTTAGGCAGCAAAGGAGGAGTGGAATTTGATTCTCTAATAGACATTGGATGTGTTAGGAATACCAGAACCCGATACCTAGGAACCACCCTAAGTAGGGTAACCCCACTTGTAATCGGAATCTCTGGTCTCCAACACCCCCTCCGGCTCACTTACAGGGCCCACACGTCATCATATATATTAAGCTCAGTTGCGTCCTGTGACTATATTACCACAAAATTGAAGGTGTTAGAATAACACCATATACATCGCCACCGTCCATCCGACCGGTTCCTGTTCGCAGGTTATATGAGAGAGGACCTTCGGCTAGGTCTGGGAAGTGGAACAGAGTGATTCCGTCAACTACTCAGAGAGTTACTTGGCTCCAAAGAATGATACCTTTTGTAGGGGCCGTAGGTAATGGGACGATTTCGCACAAAGAGATGGTATCAAATGGTAAAGGATCTCTACTAGAGACCAATACATTTACATCCACCAGAAGAGTCTAGAACTCTAAAGGATACTACCAAAGAAGCCAACAAACTTCACGGAGTGTTGCAACTGGGTTTCGGAATACGTCGTAATTATGGGGTGATCCTCAATACTACGATGGTTACTGAAACCTATTACCCAGAGAGCAACCAAGGGTTGCCAACGGAGGGATTAATTACCAATCTGGTGGAATAGCTTCCTGCGAGTTAATAGGAAGTCATCCAGAGAAAACCTATCAGTTGGATATAGAGTTACAAAGGATCGGAGTCAGACGACCTACGATGGTAGTAATGACGACCACCTTTGCAGATATAGCCATGGATAAAACTGATCATTTTATCAATGGCGAAGACAATTGGAGCCAACTCAGTTCGACTTAAGAACTAGGCCATAAGTTCGAAGACTCTGCTAATCTGGATATTACTATTGGAGACAGTACGTTTCCTAAGAAGAAATATCATAATTACCGAAGAGGGTGGGATGGTTTTCAGGGTCCACAGGTGTTCGCACCTTGGAAGAAAACTTGACGTTGTGAATTACAATTAAAGAAGTACATAGCTGTATGATAAATAGATGTAGTCCGCAAATACTCAGATATGGAATATAAATATCGAAGTGCCTCTCAAGCTTTAGACATCATCAAGCAACGGAGAAGAGACCTTAACAATATAATATTGTTTTTACGATTCTACCCTATTTTACCTACTTTACTTCGCTCCTAGTCATCATAAACGAAACAAGCCAAGTCCGAGCCTTCCTAGACAATCTCCGTCTACAAAAACGAATCTCGATTGGCCTAGACAATCTTGAAGTCTAGCAAGTTGTCTCCACCTAATAGGATGGCTGGATAGAAAGAATGCCTGAGAGAATTCAGGCTGTTTTCAATGCAGATAGAGGTCATAAAAAATAGTAATTGGATTTTTTTGAAGCTTAGATCATATACTTTCATCTATTCCTTAATTTGCATTGTATCTTGATTTTTTGTACGATTGAATTCATTAAGTGTTATTGTTGTGGTTGCCAGGCAGTAGTATAATTATTAAACAGACACATCTGTACCTGCAAGCACCGGTCAAGCTTGTGTCAGGTTGGGTGGAGTCTAATTAAGTGTTTCCAGCTAGCCTAGGCTTTTAGGGCAAAGCTGCTGAGTACCATAAAGCTTCCTGGGAAACCAGCCAGCTGATAGCTACCTCTGCCAATAGTGGGTTGAAACCACCTGGTTGGACTTGTGTGAGTCTTGTACACTGGGTTCTGTGGGGTGTGTTTGATTTCCTTGATTTGGTAATAGGTACAGCCAGAAGGGAAATGGCACCACTAGTGGGAGATAGGCCCTTATGCCTGGTTCAGTCTATTACCACCTCTACAATTTTTTTCTTTTTACAGTGTTTGTTTTGGTCACATGCAGCAAGTACAGATCCTCCTCACCAGTATGCTCTATGGAGGCAACTGGCAAAGTAGGTTCATAGTGTCGATGGCCTGGCATGCAGGGATGAGAGGTAAACATATTGATCATCTCCTCTCTACCATAGTGGCACCTGTGGGGTTAGCTTGTTGTTGGTTTTCTTTTATAATAGATAGGCCTGCTGGATGGTATACCGACTGGGCGGTAGTGGTTTATGTTTTTAGACAAGAAACCTGATTTGGTTAGTCTTTTGTTCGGCTTTGACTATACTTAGTGCAGCTTTGCTTCATACTAGAGGGGCTACAAACATAGATTGGGGAGGGCATGGGGTTGTTTGATAGTCTCATAATTTTTTCTAGTATGGGTGTGACTCAGGAATGGCAAATGCGGGGCAGTAGACTTAGTTATCATGTGGTTAGTAGTATACCTATTAGTGGTATCCCTGTGCTGGCAGGGACTTGTCGTATGCCAGTGTTGGCAGTATGAGTTTAAATCAAATTAGATTGAATTCTCAGTACTTTTCCAACTTATTATTTATGCCTTTATAAATATAAAACACTTTTATGCCCTTTACAATTATCATAACCTTTATTACTATTACAATGGAAAGACTCTATGCAAGGTAGAGTTAGAGAAAGCTTACAATAACTATTGCAATTTAAGACATTGGTCTTGTACTATCCGTAACATAGGCATAGGCCTAAGACCTATCATACAGAAGAAGAAGAAGAGAAGAATCATTTCCCATTGTCAAGAACAAACTATCCAAAGGGGAATCATTACACATAGTACATGTAGTGTTTCTAAGTGCAGCAAAGAGTATGGTAAAGGCAGTTGTGAAATAATTGGATAAGTTGATACTGAGGGATTGAAATAAGTGTATTAATAGTATATCTTCAAGGCTCCAGCAGGTTAAAGATTGAAAAGAAATCCTAGCTGAATTTTAAGTTTTTTTTTAATCCTGTATACTACTTTCCAATTTCTGACTGACAACATGCTTGATTTTTTCCTCATCATAGGTTATCATTGTTGAAATATTAATAGTACAAAGTAGTCAATATAGTTATCATGATACTGGGTGTTAGCGAATTATACCAATAGCCTTGTACTCCCAAAAACTTAGTTAATACACTCTTACTCATTGACCTCTGATCCCCTTAACTCTGAAAAGGAAAACATCCTGGAAAAGAATAATGCCTTCTAAACAGAATATAACTTGGGGGCCTGAGCTTGCTGGATCGTATAAACTGGTATTCGAAATTTTGTTAATCTACTCAGCTAAGCTTATTGTGGTTTAGACCTTAATCTCCACTGGGATCCCCAATAGTGGATTTAATGCAGTATCATATGTCCCGAGAATTATTTAAAAAAAAACATTAAAACACACTCAAACCTAGTGTGTTTTTTAATCAAACCTTTGGATTTTTTGTAATTTTCTATGGCTGTGTTTTCTTGCCTAGAAGCTGGAGTACTATTTCTTCGCTGTGGGCGAAAACATTGTATTCTGCTAGGATATTGCTGGTATTCTGTAGGAGAGCCCAGGATCGGCTGGTATAGAATAGGTTTCCTCAGCAAGTAACTCTCCAATTTGCGATTTGTATAAAATGAACTGAAGCCAAATCCACCACAGCCAAGAGCTCACGGTTTCATCACACGCTTCTCGTGGGGCGCATGTACCGTATGATACTATGTACATAAGACCACGCTTCGAATCCCGAAATCCTAATAGAGGGAGGGGAAGGGGTGGTTGACAAAGCATACGGTAATAGTGCTGACAAAAAAATAGGAAAAAGGTATCGGACGAGAGACGTACAATAACGATAGCTCCTTGGGTTGAGGGAAAGAAAAGTGAGAGAAATCCATGTAATTGGCCCCTGCAAGAAAAAGAAAAACAAGGAAGAAAGATGCTAGAGTAAAAGGATAGAACTCCACTAGAACAGACGCCGTAAAGAGCAAAGCGTGTAGATTTCTCTATCGCATCCGAACATGATGCTTTCACATTACATTTCCACGAACCCAGAACAGGACATATGCGTTTTTGGTCTAGTTAAAGTTAATAATGATTCGATAACTAGGAGTTGTGAATTCGACTTGCCACTACTCTTTCCTCTTCTACCAAAGTTGCTTTGCTGTCGTCGAATGAATTCCAACCGCCCTTGCACGAGCTTCGAACCACAGCGGTATAGTGCCCTCCATTTATCGTGCCGTAGTGATTACAGATAGCATACAGGTCATAGAAGAAAGGTGGAGTCGTCTCAGCTGTTGGTGGGGGGAGTGTCCGTGGCAATTCATCACTGGCTAGCGGCGGAGGCATATATTTCGTGAGGTCCAAATGGCGGAGAGGAATATCAACGAAAGTGTTAAGTTTGTCTCTCCACGGACCTCTGTTGGTGAAACGCTTGAGGTGGATAATTAGGATGTGCGGGAGTCGAGTAATGGTCAGCTTCTTTGTCGCTTTCCGAGCCTTTTTGCACCGTGGGCAAAGCCAAGCGTCATTACCTTCCAGTGTTTCTTCGCCGACAAACTCTTCTAAGCAGTCGCGGAGAGTGAAGTTATTGCTCTTCGTGGCAGGTATCGGGAGAGAGAGATACATAAAAGGAGAATAGGTAGTCGAGGTTCTCCCGCATGTCAAACATGAAAGCATGCTGCTCAATTGCCCCTGAAACCAGTTCACAACGACCGAATAGTTGTGATGGGTATATCGTTGCCATTCAATTATGGATGCCAGTTGAACTGGTAGCCTCTCTCGACGGCACTCCTCATCGTCATTCAGGGGTCTAAGTTTTCCATGATTTGCGTGGGGATTGAGATCCTCGTGCAGCCCGTCTAAAAGAAATTCAAGAAACTCCTGGGCATCCTGCTGGTCGTTGTTGCGAAACATCTCATTCAAACGGCCGGCTACATCCTGTGTAACAACAAGCCTTAATTTCCCATCAACACCGGGGCTTGAACAGCATACCTTTATGGTAATGGGCGAAATGAAACTATATTCACCACTCCATAGATGTCTGACGATCGCTGCAAATGCCTCCGCTAAAACCCCACGAGACCCTAAGGGATTATCCTTACTGACATGGCTCTTATAGCTACCGTCCAAGAAGTACCTAGATAAAGGAATAGTCCCACTCATGCATTGCAAAACAGCATTCATATAACATGTATTACCTAAATTCTTAAGCCCAGTAGTACCAATGTTCACTGTGTTCATGCCTGCGAATGGAGTGAGTGGTGACTTGCTTGTCACTTCCGGAATTTTAGGGGGTCTCTCAGGGGCCGGAAGTGGAGGTGGAGGTGGAGGTAGGGTGGGGGCAAGGCGTTCAGACACACCACTATAGCTTCTCCGAGGGACGGCAGGCGGGGGGCGGGCAGGGGAAGGCGGGGGATTGAATTCAGGATTACGAACGTCAGTAAACCCATGAAAGGGGTGATCGATGATTGTTGGCCTCCTAGTTAAAGATGTAGGGAAACGATCCTGCTGAGGAGTGGGCAAAGAAGAGGAAGTCATAGATTGCTGTGTATGGGGAGTCGCAGGGTAACGTTGGAACTGATCCGGTTCAGCAACAGGCAGTGGCACAGCAGGAATAAGGTCAGAGCTTACGAATTCTTCCACTGTTCGTACGTGTGGTAAGTCACTAGATGTTATGATAGATGTACCTCTTCTCCGCCTCCTTGCATCTATTTCATCCGCAGATGAAATAGCACTCATCGTCACAGGCTCCCGCTCCTTCTGTAACCTCTCCATCCACCTCTGTTCCTCTTCGATGTCAATTGTGTAGCGTTGTGCAGATTCCTCGTTCTTCTTATAGCTTTGCCTATTTAGAGGAGGCGGCAATGATCCTCTTTGCGAATCACGGTCCTGTCGTCGCTGAGTCAGAGACCGGATTGAGCTTTTATTGGACGGGTTTTCCCTGTATATGCCCGGTTGGCTGTCCGGTTGCTCTAGGGATCCGGATTCTCTACCGGGAGGGGCTGAGTGTCTTGCATCCGAGCGAATTATCGCTGGTGCTTCAGGATCAACAACTTTCAATGCTTGCTTTCCAACCAAATTTATCCATGCGTCGAGTCCCCCGACAAGCAAGAGCGGTGGATTTTTGAGTCGCTTCCCGAAAGTATAGTCATCCATGGCTAGGTGTAGGCTCCGTAATGTTATAAGATGCTGATCATTTGTTGATCCACTAAGGAAGCTATTGCTTGTGGTGGACTGGTCATAGTAAACTACGAAATCATAATCATGTCTTTTACTAAACAGGTCCTGCTCCTTGACGGGTTCAAGGACAAACGTAGCGTCTAGATCATCCCCCGACATCCTATCGTTGAAACATGTCAGTAAATTTGCAAATGTGAATGAAAGGAAGACACTACCCTTCGCGTAGTATTATGGGCTCGACGCAAACTATGGACCGCGTGTATATATGCCCGTCCATAAATTTACTTCGAGGACGGACGTCAAGCAGTAGTACAGATATTTCTGGTTCCTGGAGATAATTACAAAGTGTATCGACTGAGATAGTGGTCACCTTGGGGGCCGTGGGCCGTGGTCGAGCGCTCTCCGACTCGGTTGGAGCCTGGGTGGGCAGGGAGGGACGAGTAGAACTTCGATGTGGTGGTATCCCGGTGGGAGATGTGAAACTGGTTGCCGGTGAATATGTTGGAGCTGGAAGTTTGGGCATCGCACTGACATCTAGCGGTGGCAGTTTCGCATGCACCTCCCTTGGATCTTGGAGGTTTGCAGATGCCGGCTGTCTATTGCGCTGGGAACCTGAAAGCAAAGATGGCCGGCCAGATGGCGTGGAAAGCTTGTCGAATCGAGCCTCCAAATCCAAGTCATCCGAAGCAGCTTTCCCGGTTTTCGAGCTGGAACCTCCTGTCCCGTTGCTCTTGTGTGAAGCCACCATACCTTGCAAATCTACAATACCATCAGCAAAGCAAAAGGATACCCGTTTAGTCGAAGCTTCGCTCATTACCTAGGAGTGGCCTAGAGGACAAAATTTCGGGCTTGGCTTTCACTACAGGCTTCTTCGATCCGGTAGCTGCATTTCCGCGATTGTCAGATGAAGACTTTGCTGCACGCAACTGCGCCTCTGCTTCTAGTTGAGCTTGGGCACTGACAACTCCGGAGATATCGTTATTTTTCTTGATTTCCTCTTTAACCTTGGCAAACTGGGGAATTTTTTGCACCAACTCCTAGGTAATGACGAATTATTTAGCCTTGTCAGAAGGGGGAACGTCCGCTTGGAACTAAACAAAAATCACCTTTTTCAAAGTTTCAAAGTCCTGGTAAAGACGACCGGCCGTGGTTTTGAAAGTGGGAAAATCCTGGCATCTCGGAATAATATCGGCCGCAATTTCAAATGCAAGAAGATATTCAACGTATGCTTCATCTTGACGTTTAAAAATCAGATGAGCCCTGGCACAGTGCCAAGATTGAACAGCAGCCTCGAGCCATGCCTTAATCTACGGGTTGGTCAGTCAGATTTGGGAAAACAAAAAAATTCCACAAACGTAGATTAATATGTACCGAACGATCGCTTGGTCGGAGACCAGCAGTGCGAGCCACAAGGTCATGAACATGGGGATATACACGCATTGCAGGGGGACCGGGAGCTGGGCGAGAGGGCGGGGAGGTGTGGGAGCTCATGACAACGCGGTTGGTAAAAGAGGTTTATCTCATCGCCAGCTATGTGGGGGGCGGAGGAGGTGCGGTGGGTAGAAGGTTTGGTAAAGCCGGGCGGGAATAGAGCTGGCGATGTATGGAGAAATTTGGACGAAGGCGGGGGTGTGTGTCCGGAGGAGATTCAACGAGCGTACAATGTGAGGTCTCGCTCGAGGGGATACCGGTATTGGGAATGAAGGTAATCAGATAGTGGAAAGGACCCGGTAATAATTAAGGATTTTGAGTGTTTATTTCCGGTAAAGCATGTAGAGAGGGCTTGTTTGTAGTTGGATTAGCTATGAATTGTGAGGGTGTCGATGTGATGGGGTATTGTGGGGTGTCTCGGGCGTGCAGGGGACCCGGGGGGTGCAAATAAAGGGTTCCTGTTTTCGCAGCAAAATTCCAAACGGCGATCTACAAAATCTTGGCGTGAAACTCACGAGCATCGTCACTCGTAAGCACTCAAGATTAACTTCAAAAGAAGCAATGGGACAACAGAGGGGGGGGTGTTCTGCAAGGAAGTGAGGGGAAAGGAGGAGTTTGAGGAGTATGGAAGATCTATTCTAATACAGTGCTGAACCATGCAGTACAATGTAGTGTGCCTAAACTCACTGAGTTCGTAGAATGGAGAATACGACGGCTTCCTGATAGTACGGTATGATACAAGTACCTTACAACCACTGCAGTGCCTCGTGATGGTAAATACGCAATCCTTCGCGGTAAATTTTAGGTTTGCACTTCTCGACAAGTGGTTGAATCGAGCCAAACTCTTGTCCCAGCTGCTTACATAATGGCGGGGCGAGAGGCGTCACCCATACTAATGTGACCTGCGTCAGCTTCCCTCCATCTTAACTTCCATCCCGTTCCATCTGCTGTAGCTATTAATCCTCCTTGTCTGTCTCCTTCCACCTACTCCTCTCCCATCATAAGCTACCCTTTGCTACTTTACCTACTATAGTTGATATTGCTTGTGGCTTTTTGAATCTAATCCTCCCCCATTCCTGAATCCGCTCTTTTTATCACCTTCGTTAGGCACTCTTTGTGCTCAGCCTCTTTCGAACGATCACCATCACTTCTATCTTTACATCGCCCCGTAAAGATACGGTACCTATGGCGTGGTTTACAGCATCGAACTCGTCTCTTGACGACCAAGTCGAGAAAGCTACATCTTCGAGCTTGTCCGTATTTCGTCTTTTTAACGCTCCTTCTTTGAGTTACTCCACCTGCTTACCATTTTGTAGAGAGGATATGGCACTCAACCTAGAAATCTCCGACATCATACGGAGTAAGACGGTTCAACCAAAAGAAGCTATGCGCTCTTTGCGGAAGCGAATAGGACATCGTAATCCTAATGTTCAGCTAGCGGCTCTAAGTGTGAGAATAACTTTCCGGCTGGGGTCGAGGGGGACGCGGTTCAAATTTGAGAGCGTGACTGACATATATCACCATAAAGCTTACAGATACCTGCGTCAAAAATGGAGGATCCCACTTTTTAGCCGAAATTGCCTCACGGGAATTTATGGACAATCTGGTTTCTCTACTAAAAGTTCCTTATTCACTAGACCCCAAAGTTGAGAGCAAGATACTAGAGCTCATACAAACCTGGGCATCTGCGTTTGAAGGGAAGAGCCATCTTTCATATGTCGGGGAGATATATCGAATGCTCATAAATGAGGGTTTTAACTTCCCACCACCAACAAAGGTTTCCTCATCATTTGTTGACTCTTCGGCGGTAAGTAGAACGAGTCCCGATGGTTACCTGTTACCTGAGTCGCCAACTGACATAAAGAAAAGCCTCCTGACTGGACTAATTCAGATGTTTGTATGCGGTGTCGAACACCTTTTACTTTCACTAACAGAAAGCATCATTGCCGCAATTGCGGAAATGTTTTCTGCGGTTCTTGCTCCTCGAAGTCGATACCACTCCCTCACATAGGAATAATACAGGCCGTTCGTGTGTGCGATGGATGTAACACTAAATTGACCGAGAAGCGGGTCTTGGGCCCTTCAGCGAAACCGCAGTCTCGTCCGCCTCAAGTGCAGAAGCAAAAACCAAATAATCTTATGCAGCCGAGAAACGCTAGGGTTGAGGACGACGACGATGAGGACCTCAAAATGGCGTTGAAGATGTCGTTGGAAGAAGTTAAGGGAAGGGGAAGTGCGGGTTATGTTTCCCAACAGCAGTTACAAGCTCAGAGACAAACCGCTCCACCTCATGTCTCGACATCCACCGTCCAAACTTCTGCTTCTAAGCCATTAGGGGGGAAGGCTATGCCTGACGAGGACGAGGATGAGGAGTTGAAGGCGGCGATCGCTGCGAGTTTGAAGGATATGGAGGAGCAGAAAGCAAAGTCTGCGTGGTCGAGCCCGAGTGCCGCAGTCAAGTACACTGCTTCGGCTTCACAAGCAAGTGTCACCCATAGACCTGATCACGAACTGAGCCCTGCTGAGGCCGAAAACATCAATCTTTTTGCCACGCTTGTTGATCGACTGCAATCCCAACCGACTGGGACAATCCTCAGAGAACCCCAGATTCAAGAGCTTTATGACAGCATTGGTGCTCTAAGGCCAAAATTGGCCCGAACCTTTGGTGAGACCATGAGTAAATATGGTATAGTCTATTAGCCCTTATCAAACTACGCCAAAACTAACCGTTTTCATTTCCAGAGGCTCTATGTGATCTACACGCAAAACTTGGTACTGTTGTACGCTATTATGACCGGATGTTGGAGGAGAGGTTGAGCTATACCTATGGTCGGCATGGGATCGGGGGAGTTTCTTCCCCCGCTCCTTACCAACAACTCCCCCCTTCGAATAGTGCGTATCCTACTTTGCCTTCTGTTGAGGGCTATTATGGAGTTGGTGGGGGTAACACACCAGGAGCTCCACAAAATCCCTACCCCAATTCGCAGACGAATTATCAGAATTATTATACGCAGCCTCATACTTTTGATAAGCAGGGATCTTCTCTTCACGCTCAGTCGCCCAAATCTCATAAGATTCCTCCGCAGGCAGCTTACCAGCAATACAACGGGCACAATGGCCCCCTACCATCAGAACCTAGTGCTCCTGACCCTTCACTGCATGGTTCCGAACCTCCGGTAAATGCTCCACCCCCACAACAGCAACAACAGCCCCAGCAACAACAGCCGCAATCGCAACTACAGCCCCAGCAACCGCTGACGGGACCATCAGCCCAACCTCAGAAACCCCCTTCGCAACAGCATCACTCTCCTCCGCAGCAAAATCCGGATGCATCATACTGGCAATATCCAAAGAATGGACAACAGCCTGAATATAATTACGCCTATTCGCCATCTTCACAGCCTCTACGATGGCAGCCTGGGCCCGGTACCGGCCCTGGGGGAACTCCATTCGGGCACCATAATTATGGATACCCGAATATCAATGAGGCTTCAACCCCAGCGCCTGTGCATAGTCAGCCACAGCAACAGCCCAAGGTAGTGGAGGAGAGCTTGATTGATTTGTAGGATATATTTGGAGCCGTTCACTTTTCTTTTTTTACGGTGGTTCTTTTAATTTCTTTACTCTCTTACTTTAGGGCATTGTTTGAAGAGGGAGGGGTGGGAGTTCCCGTACTGGCAGCTTGGTTCCTGTAATTTATGGAAATGCTATAACTTGAAAAATGATTTTGGTGATTAGACCCTAAGTTCGTGCTGTAAGTGTATGGGGGAGGTTGATCTGAAAACAGTAACTTAGTCGTCGTTTAGTAGCAAGTTTCAATCACGCCCACTCTTCCCCCTGCTAACGCCATAGAAATATTGGATTCATTGGAGTTTGAGCCCGGAGAATCTTCAAGAACTTTCTCGTCATGCAGATTGCTGGGTGCGGGTGAGAACCAATGAGGATGATTTATAAGCCGGGTAACTTATCATTTTTGCAGTTACATAAGATTCGCTCCCGAGAAGCCAGAGGCTCACTCACCACCGTCCACAACGGACATCCGCAGGTGCAACACGAAAAACACCTCCAAAAGTTTAGAACTCCAATTGACAACTACCGGCATGGCAGCTGGTAAATAATCCCTCCTCCTTATTTACTTTAGCTCAATAACTAACCCAACGCTCTAACACAGAACAGAGAAGACTGCTCGAGCAGGTCAGTTTCTTTACGCCCCCCCCATCCATCCATCGCATGCTAACTAACCGACGAACACCAGTTAATGGGCACTCCCAACCAAACCAACTCCTCCGTCCCATTCACCGACCCCTCCGTCTGCCGAAGCTTCCTGGTTGGCATGTGCCCGCACGACCTCTTCACGAACACGAAGCAAGACCTGGGCCCGTGCAAAAAGACGCACCTAGAATCCCACAAGGCAGACTACGAGCGCGAACGCGCCAACAAGCCATCCAAGGATCTCGGCTACGAGTACGACTACCAACGCGACCTGCAGCGCTACATCGACGAGTGCAATCGTCGGATCGACGCCGCGCAGCGACGACTCGATAAGACGCCGGATGAGATCACGAAGACGAATTCCCTGCTGAAGGGGATTGCAGACTTGGATGGGAGTATTAGCTCCGGATTGCAGGAGGTTGAGGTGCTCGGTGAGACGGGCGCGATTGGTCGCGCGCTGGACGAGTGGCATAAGGTTAAGGTTGCGAAGATGGAGAAGGAGGGGAAAGAGAAGGAGTTGAAGTTGCTTAGTGATAGTGCTGGACCCTCTGGTCACCAGAAGTTGCAGGTTTGCGATGTGTGTGGGGCCTACTTGTCCAGGTTGGATAATGATAGGAGGTTAGCAGATCATTTTTATGGCAAGGTGGGGCGGTTTTCTCCTAGAGTTCCTTTCTCGCTGTTTTTGTTCCCGTTTGTTATTGCTGATTCGCGGTGTGTGTGCATGATAACAGATGCATCTTGGATATGCGCAGATGAGGTCTACGTTGAAGAAGTTGCAAGAAGAATTGGCTGGAAGGGGACCTCCACAGGGACAGCACGGCAGGGACTTCCGCGACAATGATAGGGGCTTTCATGACGGTGGTTACTCGCGAGAGCAATCCGGTGGTGGTGGCTACCGTGGCGGCTTTAGAGGTCGCGGGGGTGGCTATCGTGGTGGCAGAAGCGGCGACGGCGGGGGGGGGTGGGGCGGTCGTGGGGGAGGTGGTGGTGGATACGGTGGCAGAGGTGGTGGTGGGGGTGGAGGTCATAGATGGTAAAGTTAGATGCATACACCTTATTCACTAAACGTTTTTGTTTTCCTTAGAACCGTAATATCCGAATTCCCTTTCCTCGCTCTCTACGATACGGCGTATTAAGGGTGGGGTATCTAACTATTTTACACTTTCTATTTTATCTAAAAAAAAAATTTCTCGTCTTTTGTGATTAAAAAGCCTTGTTTTTTTTGTTTTTTTAGCAATACAGTCTGTAAGCAGAAGAAACTTTTGATATCAAAGCGGGCGAGCGAGCATCCCGAACGTAATGGATGGATGAGGTACGGAAGACGAGTGAGGAAGGAAGGAATTAAGTAGCAGTAGCTGCAGTAGTGGTGACGACTGGCGATCCGGCTTCTACCTGTTCTGCCCAAGAGGAACCGCCGGTGGTGGGAGATAGAAGTGCAGGTTTGCCTTTTGCTGCGGTGGTATCAATGGTGGGGTTTTTTCTCTGGTCCTCATTTGTCTCACTCTTGACCCCCCCTTCCTCCTGCTTAACTTCCTCATCGTTCTTAAGCTCGCCCTTCTTCGCCTCACCTTTCGGCCCTTTAGCTCTACCCTTCAGCTTCCCCCCAGGTAATTCCGGCCACTCCTGCGCCGACACCGCTTCAACCGTAGCCCTCGCCGGAGAACCCACACCAGCGCGGGGTCCCGATGGCGCACCTCTAGGTGGAGTAGCCGTTGCAACCCCTCCATGCGCACCACGCCTAAATCCCGAGGATCGACTCCTGGGATTATAATCCTCCTCCGTCTTGGTAGAATCCCACTCCCTGGTTTGTACAGCATTCAATTTTCTCTGGCGATTCTTCTCCCTCTCATCACTGCGCGACGTTAGTTCTCAGTCTATCTTTGGGAAACAGAATCATTAGGAGGAGTAGTGGCGGTGGGACGTACTCCAATTCTTTGCGATTCCTATCTGCCTCCGCACGTTTTTTGCGATCTGCGAGACGCTTGTGCACGTCGGCCTGCTTGCGGGCTTCCTCAGCGACTTGGAAGGAACTTTCATCTTCTTCGGCTTTTCGGCGACGCTCGATGAGTCGCTGGTTGTTGAGTTTTACGCGTTCTAGACGAGCGGCCAGTTCGTCTTCGGTGAGTTTTGGCTGGAAGAGGGAGGGGCAAGTGTGTTATTTAGTAGGTTCTGTTGAGGGGAGGGGTAGAGAACAAGTAGGATTGGGTGTCACTGGGTCATAAATGCCTTCTTTATACCGCCTGAGAGTGTCCTGTCTATGTCCTTCTTTATATTTCTTATGGTTAGTGACTGTGAAGGACTGAAGTAGTGCGTCAAAGTTAAGAGGGGGATATATACCTTCTGCGTAGCTTCTGTCCCAGCAGTAGAAGCAACACCTTCCGCCGGCGCACTCTTCTCACGATCACCGCGAGCCTGGTACTAGCAAACAGAGCAAACAGCTATCAGTAGATGGTTATAGAATTGTTATTCCTCGATAGTACATACAAATCCCCTGCCGCGTTCCCTCCCACTGCGATTCGTGAAAGCTCTAGGCTCAGTTGGCGCAGTTGGAGGAGGTAGAACTGGCGCCGAGATCTCGCTCTCGAAGAGATCGTCATCTTCCCGTGTTTGGGCAAAGTCGTCCATAATGTTTCGCTGAGGTTTGCTCGCTTGCTTGTAGAAAGGAGAGGGAAATCGTAAGTTGCGTCGTAGGTTATTAGTGTTTGGTGTTTAGTAAGTGTTGTTATTGGGAATGGCGGTGGAGGTTACCGGTATGGGGGAACGGGGGGGTGGGATTCCAGTACTCGAGTAACGGAATCTTCATACCAAGGATCCCGGGAAGTTGCCCCGCCTCCCCCCCGCCATCTGTGATAGGTGCTTACCTACCAGTTACCCTACGATACCTAGATCTGCGCCTAGCTTTTAAGATCGACCCTCGCCAGCGGCTAACTTGAGATGATGTATTGTTTTAAAGGCTTGTCATTTTTGTACCTGGTACCGCTATGATAACAGTTCGGAATTTGTATGAGTTGGGCAGTGAGACATAAACCAACAAAGCGATTAAATAAGCAGTAGGGAAGAAAATCAAAAAAATCAGAACGCCTTCCTCACTCCACCCAAAAGCTAAGTGAGTAACCTATGGGTTGTCATCTCCACATCAAAAAATAGATTCCAGAGGCCTTGAAAGAGGGTGAAAGAAGAACGAGGCAAAGAGAAACTCGCCGTTACTGTTCCCTTCCATTCCGACTCCTGGCGAGACTCAGTTCCAGCAATTATTATAAAATTCACTCCCAGTCCTCCTCCTCACTGCTTCCGTCGTCTCCCTCCCCATCCTCACTGTCTTCCTCCTCGTCGTCACCCTCCTCTTCGTCATCATCTTCCTCACTATCCTCGTCCTCGCTAGCCTTAGTAGCTCCGCTAGCCTTTATAGCCTTTTGTAGGGAGTGAAGTTAGCGTGTGCTCGTAAATGATAAGATAATGATCTGATACCTTTGCTGCTGGAGGACTGCCGGCAGCTTGACTTGGGGCCTTAGAAACAGCTCCGGAGACGACATCATAACTTGATTCACTATCGGGTTGAGAGGTACGGTCGATTGAACTCTTGGGCTTGAGATGCTCCTGCTTGGGAATTAGGGTTTCTGTCGACGCCGCAGTTGCAGCCACTGCGGCAGCTGACTTGGAATTACCCGCGGAGGGTTTCTCCACATCAGAGTCGTCATCCTCGTCCCATCCGACTTCCTCTTCGTCGAGTGTGGCTCCTGAAATTGTTAGCCATAGTGTGCCGGTGCTGGTCCGGGGCAACGCTTCGAAATACCTTTCAAGAGCTCCTTTCGCTTCTGTTCCTCCATGTCTAGTTCATTTCTTAAAAAGTAGTACCTTGCCCAAAAATCCGAATACTGGACTGTATCGGGGACGAGCACGTCCATAGTATTTCGAAGCTCCGGGTATCTTTCCAAATCCACCACAATCTGGTTGGTATGTTCCTCCGCATTGAAATCTTTAACCCAAACTATAAAACTGTCAGTGTCGGACCCTGTCCTAAAAAGCCCGTGATTGCTGTGAAGCAGATGAAGTTGAGCGTCAAGTCTCGTGGTGCTAGATCACCCTCCGTTAGCTCTACAACCATCATACCTCGCGACGGACCTAGGAGCCATTACTAAATTTGTCTCTTCCCTTCATCCATGCCTTTTGCTTCAAATACAACCTCACGAGATCCATCCGCTCTAACCTTATCCTCAGGAGGAGCGATCGTAACTGCATCACTTAAAAAGCTACCAATATTTGACCCAAACTTGAGAAGATACTCGTCAGCCCTCGCCTCCGCAGCTTCGAGTTCTGAGATTCTTTGAGCAGCGCCCTTCTTCAATTTAGAGAGTAATCCTTCTCCTTGCGGTTTATCCTTCTCCTTTTCTTTATCCCCCTCAGCAGCCTCAGCTCCTGCCTTGGAAGTCTCCCCTTCCTGCTTTTGCTCGCCCCCGGGTAGCGGATCAAGCGTGAATTGAGGGAGCGCCTGGGTGATCGAGAGTGAACGAGTCCGGCTCGCGATATTAGTCCGTAAATCGCTGAATCCTTTAGTAGCCTGCTCCGAAACCGTAGCATATTCCTTCTTTGAAGATTCGTAGTATGATTCACCCTACCCCCCCCCCCCATCATTAGTTAGCTTCCAGGCCCCTAGCTGCATCATGCAATTTTCATTGAGCAAGACCCGCACCTGCTTCTTCACAGTACCCAAGAAAGAACCCAACCTCCACCCCCAAGGAGATATAGAAACAGCTTTATATGCCTCCCGGAATTCGTCGTTGAGCGTCTCACTCGGTTTCTCTGCATCCTTGCCCTTGCCATGCTCCTCCGGTGCGAGGATTTCCTCTTGAATATGATCGTATGCTATTTCCATGGTCTATTAGGCTATCGTTGCCTGGTCTTTCTTTAGGGAAAACTGGTAAATTATTTGACTTGGATGGGTGTATGGAGGTCGGCTTTGTTGTTGTGGGGTGTTGTGAAGGGCGTGCCAGGAACGCATTGTGGCACACCAGGGGGCTACTCGTGCCAAGGTTCCCCCAACTTCGAAGAACGCTAAGCGACCTTCGACGGCGGTGGCACTCTCCTAGAGTGCCGAACAGCTCAACGAAAGTAACACCTCAACGATAGATAGATTTAGTTTACATGACAAACAAAAGATACAATTAAGGCCCCAATTTCACGACGCAAAAGTTTCTGTTTTTTTTGTAGCTTCTTCCTATCCTTCACAGCCTTCCTCATCTGCTTTGATATTTCTTTCCACTGCTTCTTAACTTTGTTCTCACTGTTTTTCTATACAGTATCAAGTAGCCGTTGAGCCTTTTCCAAAGCCTTTTCCACCATTTCCTGTTCCATTTGGAGAACCATTGCTCTCGCCTCATGGGCATATAAAACTCTGCCCTTTTGGATTGAGCGTCAGCTCTCCTTTTGGAACACAGCTCGAGCCACTTCTGCTGCCTTGGTCCTTTGAAGGTCCTCCAGAGGGAATGCACCGCTTTGAGCCTGGGTTAGGCTACCATTTAGGTACATATGTAGACTTGGATTAGCGGTAGGTGAAAGTTCCCCAAGCTAAAAGGGAAGTGAATTGGCTTGATATTTCAGGGACCGAATCTTTTGTAGAGTGGTGGAGGTAGCTATAATGATAGTATTTTGGTATGCTGTTCAGGTTGGGGTTTGTGGCTCTGGCGTTTCCAGCACTACAAGGTCGACAAGCTTGCCAAGAATGATATCAGGGTTGAATAGGAAGAGTCCGGTCTCTTTAAAAGCTGACTTGATAGTTGTAGGCTTAAAGGTCTAGGAGCGAATTGAATTGAGTACCGTAAGAAATTCGGATTTATCAAACTTGGAACAGCCGGTCCATATAGCAGTATCCACCACCTCCGTGTGGTAGTGTTTGCAAGGCTACAACACTACCACATCCAAGGGTTGAAGATGTATTGAATGTAGGGGAAACAAAATAGAAGAATTTTGTGAGCATCACAAAATTCAATAAAGTTTCTGGTGTAGTACGAATTGTGGCCATCAAGTACAAGAAGTCGCCATACACCAACTTGACGTTTAGTAGAGTGCTTTTCAAAATGGTAGATCCATTTCATATCCAATTTATCTTTTGAATAGCCAGATTCAGTGACTCCAACCAGAATATTATCCGGATGATCAGTTTTGGTAAACCAATCTTCCGTACAGACAATTCCAGGGACGATGGATAAGTGTGGGGGGAAGAACTGCTCCAGCACTGCTGATCTTCTCGATCACGGTAACTAGCTCCCGATTGTAGGAGCTTGCAAGTGATAGCGGTTGTCTCGGTTCACGTGTAACTACTCATTGGTCTCTCCCTATCCCAATTCTGAATCCCGTTTCGTAGAAGTTGTAGCAATCTCTAATAACAATCCCTTTCTCTTCCTCTAACTTCTTGTATCGTGCAAACCAGTTATGGAAGTCTTCCACACAGTGCCCCTTCTTGCTCTCCCCCTCAATTGTTGTCTGCCTACGGATATAATACTTGGGCTATCTCTGCAGAAAGCTTTGAGTCCACATGTGACTGACTCTCAGTGGGGTAGAGTTGGGATCAAGATAGGCATGGGCGAATATTGAATTGGCATAGGAGGGGATGTTCCGATATCTTGGAGGAAGCCCAATCTCATCAAGCCTATTGAGAAACTGACCAAGAGCTTCTTCCTCATCTGGTGTCAATTTCCTGTTGGATGGTATACGTCCCGTCAGGATTGACAGCCTAGTACTCATGCCTGGAGATGCTGTTCTGGCAGTTCATATTCCTGTATGATACCAGCAATGTTAGGTTTTTCCTCTTCAGCGATTTTATCCATAGCTTGCTGTATTTGTTCTTCCATCTGGGCATCGGATTCATTAGGCAAGATGAGGTGGGTGGATTGATATGGGTTGATTAATTGTCAATGGAGCCAATCTCGCAGGAAATCTTTCATTGAGGTATTACTTTCCTTGAGCTGTTTGGCACTCTATGTAATGATCCCTCTCTGGGTAGTTAGTTCTTGGCGACGGGGAACGATACTTCTCTTTCTGTCTTCTTCTTTTTTATCTGACGATAGCTCTAGGCCTCTGCCTACGTTACCGATAGTACAAGACCTTTGTCTTCTATCGGGAATGCCTGTTGTAAGCTTTCTCTGACTCGTCATCGTGAAGGACTTTTCTTGGCGTAACAATAATGGTGCAATAAAGATAAAGATCGTAAAGATGTTTTATATTCATTAAAGTAATAAGTAGGAAAAGTACTTAGAAGTCAATCTAATTTTATTTCAACTCGTACCGCCAACACTGGTATATGACGAGCCCCAGTGCTGGGCCCCCAGGTTGTCGCATCCCGGATACCACTAACTACGAACTAACTTAACATCCAGCTCCATACCTCAAACATGCCCGCGCCATGCCCTAACACGAACACTAAGTTCAAAAACCGTCATCGGTAAAGAAAATCCTTCTCAGCCCAGCCTGCCCGCCAGCCAAGTTACCCGTACAAAATACAAAAATTCCACTACCGCCACCTAAATGTGACCCCGCGATAGCGCCCTCCACAGTAGAACCCCTCCTGAATGCCCCCACTCAATGATCTCGGGACATCCCCACCAACCGCCAGGCACCCTCCCCCAATCTCAAACAAAAGAAACACCCAAAAAACCGAAGCGTGTAAACCCAAAAGGAAAGCCGACTTACATGGCGAGGGCTCCCAAGCCGAGGGGGTACGAACCGTTGTAGAGAATCCGGGGTGCACCACACCGGCAGCGCAGTCCAAAAACCTCGACGGAAGCAGCCAGGATGAGAGAGTCCCCAAGCCGCCGGCACTTGACCGAACACACCTAAGTATTCAACTCATCCTATAACTTCCCAGCCTGCTCCACAGGCGGCGAACCCACCGCGGACTCCGTAGCAGCCGGTTTGCAATAGCGAACTGGCGAAGGCGATGACCCTTCCGAGTCGGGAACAAGTAGCACAGGTGAGGTCTGGTCTTGCTTGACCCGGCGCTTCTTGTTTCTCTTCCTCTTCCCACCCACGGACGCAGGTCTAGCAACAGGAGTGGACGGGCCACCCTCATCACCACCCACCACCACAGGAGGGACGCCACTAGAGGAGCTTCCCCGACCAGCCACGGGATCAGCCACAGAGGACTCAGGCACCTGCCCCCCCGAAGGGGGTGATACCACCATAGCTGGTGTCACCACACTAGGATCCACCCTACTCACACTAGGAGCAAGCGCCTCCTCAATCCTGATGAATCAGGAACAGGACCACCCACACCACCATCCACAACCGCAGCTGCAGGGGGGGCAGGGATAACCGCCGGCATAACATTCTCCTGAGGGAGCTTCTCCGCTTGACCTTGAGAATTCTCAGGGTCTAGCCCACCCCCCTCAACTGAGACCACTGAAGTAACCGAAGCGACCGAGGGGACAGGCGAAGAGGGGATAACCGTCGGAGCTTCAGCCGCCAAAATTGTGACCAAACCGCGAATAGTATCGCGTTCAGAGGCCAGGGCAGCCGACAAGGTAGATATCTCCTTCTCAGCGCGATGAAAACGCCGAGAAAGGACAGAGATGTGATGCCGAAGGCGAGCGACTTCGGCCTCCAGGGCGAAGTTCTTCTCGACGGCACGAGACAGAACCACCGACGAACGTAAAGCGGACGTGGCAGAAGGGACAGAGGCTTGCTTAGCCATTGCGACCATGAGGAGGCGATGTAAACGAACAAGCGTAAAGATAGGTAGGAGGAAGAAAGAACTTCCAGCAATCGTAGGGGAGGGATTAACAATGATGCCCTAAAAGGTGATCGAAGTTAAAGACTTGAAGCCTATCGTGAGATAGAAATCAAGGGCTCTGATTGGACCGACACCGAACCTTCACGTTCCGACACGGGGTGAAAGAAGGAGGAAAAGTACTTAGAACAAAGGGTGAAGAACCTATCTTCCTCGGCCACCTCGGCCTCCTTGTATAGTATTCTTCCCACTCGTAGTCATGTGACCTAATGTGGTCACATGTGCGAAACCAAATCATAACAAACTAGTCATGTGACCAAAGTGATCACATGCTCAAAACCCATGACCTCATAGCAAGGTCATATACAAAAACTCATAAACCAATCATAAGGTAAATAAACAAGTCATATGACTTGACTGAGTCATATGCATGAAACCCATGACCTCATAATGAGGTCATGTGCGAAACATAAATCATATGCGCAAGGCTTACCCGCAAGGCACACTCGCAAGGCATACTCGCCCAGCGTATGTCCCATGACTCATACTTAAGCCATGTGCGAAAGCATCACAAATCCCACACATAACAAATCATATAACCCGAATGAGTTATATGTGCAAAACAACAACATACCTGTGACTCATAACCATGTGTCACATGAAAACCTTTTCCATGCCAAGCCACGTTCGTGACACTCTAGGAGAGTGCCACCGCCATCGAAGGTTGCTTAGCGTTCTTCGAAGTGGGGGGAACCTTGGCACGAGTATTCACCGTGCATCGCATTACCGGAAGGTTATGGCATGATGCCGGTCGGTCCTTGAAAGAGCAAGACTTGGCAACATTCTTTTCCTCATTGCACGCAAACCTGAATGGAAGATATGATACCGGTACAGTGATCACATTCATCGCGATCGCAATACGGAGCCAAGATCACGAATTGGCCATCCTACCGGTACGGCATGAATGCCCCCGTTCTCTGCCACTTTAACGCTGAGCTGATGCCAAGGTGAATACCGTACAAAATTACAATTATCTAGAGTAGCGAAAACTGATGTCTACAGTACTATAATACTGTACGCCAACAAAGTGCTATCCTAATAGGTTCATATGTCTCATAAATAATAGATATAAGTCGTTTGCTTTTCGCTAAGAGGCATTTCCATTCGGATTAATTTCCCCACATCTATCCCTCGCAGAAAACCGACATCGTGAAATAAATAACTTGTAGTTTTGTAGCAAAAACATTGAGGTATGATTTACTATTTCCACACGTTTGCGAAAACATCATCATCTCCCCCGAAACCTCCCGACTTTCCGTAGGCACCGGCACCTGCACCACTACCACTATTAACTCCGGTTCCAATTGCGCCAGAACTAAACGCACCCCACTCGTCCTCCTCGTTCTTGGTAGCCCCAAAACCACCAGCACCAGCACCAGGAGTTGAGGTAAGAATACCCGGTGTGGCCGGAGTTGGTGCTACAGGCGAGCTCCATATGTTATTCGATGGAGTTGCCGCCGAGGCAGATGCACCCCAAGCAGGCTCATTGGAAGTAATAGTCGAGGTGGTTGGAGCTGGTGATGCCCAAGCATTGTTATCAAACGAAAAGGCGGAATCAGCCGGCTTGGTGGTAGTAGGAGAAAATGAACTGGCTGCCCTCGCTGGGGGGGGTTGGGCTATTGGGGCGGAAGGAGTGGACGAAAAATCAAAAAGATCCTCGAGACCGGAACTAGTAGAGGCAGTGGGTGCAGATTTTTTATTAGTGGCCTTGCTGGAAATGGAGGATCCGAAAAAACCTCCAGTCGACGCCGGCGATATCTGAGGGGCCGCTGAAGATTTCATCATTCCAGCTGTGAGATTAGCAAATGGGGATGGCTTCGGTGGCGGTGGAGTGGTTGCTTGGGTTAATATGGAGGTTGTGCTGGGCTGTGACCCGAACCCAAACGCACCAAACGCGTCATTTAGATCCCCCAGACCAGAGGAAGGATTCTGTGATTGCTGAGATGAAACTATCGGGGGACTGCTAACATGTTGAGGGCGGGGTTGGGGCTTGGAAGCATAGAGGGAGAGAATTGATCTGTTGAGATCAGGCCGCGATGATGAGGTATTAGAGACCGGATTAGAATTTACTGAAGCGGGTCGTGGAGCTGGGGTAGGGGTGGCCGCAAAGAAGTCCAGTCCGAGGAGCGAATCAGCAGGTTTGATCGATTTCGGTGGTACAGGAGAGGCCTTTGGCGGACTCCTAGATGCCGGTGGTACCGAATTGGACCGGGAGGGTTCTTGGGGCAAGGTATCCTCGTCCTCAAAGAGGTTGACATTTTGTCGCCTTGCCGATTGTTGCAATGGTGAGGTAGTTGTTGGTCGATTCTCAAGCTTTTGCTGAACTACCTTTAGGGGCTGGGAGGTGGGTGAGGTTAGTATGTTTAAATGGGCGGGTAGGGGGTTCCCTACCAAGTTGTCTTCTTCACCGGAATCTTCGAGCGTTGCAGGGTCAGGAATCCCCCCTTCCATAACCCATCGCTTGGACTCGTACTTTGTGCGCACAAAATTCTCAATTTTCCTGGAGGAATCAGTTGGACGATCTCAGGGGGAAGGTGTTATGAACATACGCTTCTGAAGGGACATGTCCCGGCGCAAGGTTGGCTTCCCAGTATCTATCGCACGAGTGAGCAAGGCCGATCAATAATAGTAAGAAAAGGGAGAGGCTGACTTATTGGCTCTTGAATTTCCCCACCTCAACATACTTTGGAGCTGCTCATCCGTCCAACTATCAAGATCTACGGATTTGACTACAAAAAGTGGTAAGATGAGCAAACGATCGCCGGTGATGATGCGAATGGATTTCACCCACCCCTACTAATATGTGTTCCCATTCCGCGATGGATACCAGAACATCTGAAGAAGTCAGGACCAGCACCAATCTGAAGAGTTCCTCGTCACGAACCTGATACAGATAAAAACACCCAGGTTCCAGCTTGCCCACCTTGGGAGCTTATTTCTCTTGCAATCAGCGCAGACCTTATTCCCAGGAAGCTTCAAAAGCGACTTGATAACTTGCTGGTTTTGCGCTGCCTTGTCGGCAGGAGGGTTGGGACGGCGGGACATGACGGTCGGCGGATGCTTCTGCGGGAAGATCGATAAGGGGCTAGTAAGAGGGTCCTCTGTTGATAGTTCTAGATCGATTGTTGCACTTTTAGAAAAGCTGAAATATTGACAGATGGGGGAGAGTGTCCCCTGTCGGTGCACTTGGGTGGGATGGATGTGGGTGGTTCAGTTAGTCTGAGTTAGTCAGCGAACCCAAGGGTTGGACCGACCCACTGTGGCCAGCATGGCAAAGACGGGGGACTCGAAAGAACAACGTTCAAAACACGTAATGATTTACACAAGCTCGAACTTGTGTGAAATGTGAAGCTATGATAGTCTACTCGTACTGTACGAGTATCGTACAAATATGATGTTATGATAATATTATGATACCAGTATCACACTCGAGTACCTGTACAGTACGAGAACTGCCCGCTCCAGGCCTACTGTATGATATCATCAGTTACCATAATTGCGAGCAGGGATATTGAATAAGTTACCGTATCTTGTGCGTGAAAAAATCGTTGCATTGGTGAAATGATCATGCACTGTACCTTACTCGGGTACCAGTATTCCCGTTTGCTGTATCATAGTCAAAAATTTCCAAAAGCTACATACTAAGTTACTCGTAGGGCGATCTGATACGGTAGGACTCGAGCAGGGGGATGGTTATCTACAGCACCGGTACTCGAGTACGCTATGATACTCGTTATTGCGCCTGGGTGATCCACCATAACTTAGTCCATCATTACAATACTCCTACAGTTCCCAGATACGGTACTCGAGTACGGTGATTGGGTAGTACAAGTATGATGGACCGTATATTATCTGTGGGACAAAGGACACCGGATTAGTTGAAATAACTGTTACTCGTCCTCCAACACTCGCATCTGCTCCAGTACGATATTGAGATAGAAAAGGACCTGGAAAAAAATATTTTAGAAAGTCGAAAGGATTAAAACGAGTTAGGTCTGATTTTAGAAGTCCATACCATCGAGGAATGATTATCCGGGGTCCAATGGTGAGAACTCGAGATGGTTGTTTATCCATGGAATTTGATTGGTTACCTGTCCTACCCTAAACCAATTTAAAATGGGATGCGGCAACACCACTGCGGCCAGCCATCAGAAAGGCGTTGAGGGCCATTCTCCAATTTTTATTTTTTTTATTAATTTTGTATTTTCTCGTGTCATATATACAGTGCCGGGTCTCTCCTTTCATTAGACACTTTCCTTCCTCTACTCTCTCCCTCCATCGACCCGAACACCGTTACCACCACCGCTCGTCTCACTACTCCCCTTTAACGTCTTGTCGCCCCAAGGTGTGTTTCTACGGTGCCCCTACCATCTTCCCACCTTTCAGAGGACAAAAGGAGAATTAATTGAATAGCTCTACTCTTTATAATTCGAACTATTTTCTCATTTCAGGAATATTTAACCTTACAAAATTGATCTGAATAGATTCTCTTCAAATCTCTTACCATGTCAGCCGAATATACCTTTGCCGATATTAAAGGACATCAATCGAAGAAGGTTCGTTTATTTTTCTCGCCTTGTTATCTACTTGGTCCTGTTTTTTCTTAGAACCCTTAATCGGATATGGTTCGCGCGGTCTTACTGGCTCCTTTCTTCCATAGGATCTTTGGCTTGTTGTCCATGATAAGGTCTACTCTTGTGGGGATTTTGTTGACGAGCACCCGTATGGCCCCGGCTATGCATCTCCCCTGCTATTCTAGCAAACCACTAATCTGCTGACACAGGGGTGGTGAAGAAGTCCTGATGGATGTCGCTGGACAAGATGCGACCCTTGCCTTCGAGGTACCTCTACTTGATTGTCTTTTCAGATGTCTACAACATGTTTACCCGAGGCTCGTGAATATAGGATGTCGGACATTCGGACGAAGCCCGCGAAATTCTTAACGGATTGTTGGTTGGCACACTTAAAAGAACGGTATGCTTACCAAGTCTTTTGTTATACGCCGGCAATTGTTCAGCAATTGGTTCTAGCTGATTTTTAACCCCGTACAGGCATCCGACCCGAAGCCCCCTGTTACCTCTCCTAGTTTCACGACCCAGACACAGAGCAATGATGCTGGAACGTAGGTTGCGCCAAAATGCCTTTTTCTTTTTCTTTTTCTTTTTGAGAGAGGGGGTACTCGGGGTTTCTCGTTTTCTACAAACATACTACACTCCCAAATCTTTGCTGATAGAAATCGTGAATATAGTACGTTCTACGCTTTCTTCGTTGTGGCTGCCCTTGTTGCGTTTGGGGCATACAAGGTGTACGCTTAAGTGGCCTGGTGTGGTTGGAGTTGTGAAGGGACAGTGGAAAGAGAATTTGGGGTAATATGATCTCTTTTTCTTTTCTTTTGATTTGCGCATGGTGTCTCTGGGTAAATGAAAGTGCGAGGGGTAGGGAAATGTTATTCTTGAACCTTTAGAAGCAATGCAATAGATTTAAAATTTTCTTCTCACGTGGCCGAGTCCATGCCAAATTCCCATTTGGAGCCCCCTTTTCTTGATCGATGGAGTGATTTTTGATGCCGGGAGCCTAGTGGCCCAGAGGAAATGTTACCTTTGGGACGGGCGCATGGGATATCGGCTTGATTGTATGGTAAGTTAGATTTGATGATCCGTATGAGATCCGAGAGCATAATGAGCACTAAGCTCATCGCGGAACATATCAAGCAAGATAATGTGGATACCGAAGGCGGGATCAGATGGCTGCCGGAAGGCAGAAGTCGAGATTTAGAGGGATTGAAGACTAGGGGAGAAAGTTGGTGATGCTAGAATCTAAAAGGTTGGTAGGGAACAAGCTCCGACAAGTAATGTTCCTACACTGACCGGTCATGTCGATATAACCACTGCGAGGTAAATTACCCACCCTGCCCCATCATGAATGCTGGAAGTCAGACCCGGAGGATAGGACTTCTCCCTGAGCGCTCTGGCGTGAGGTGATGATTGAAGGAGTGCAGCGGCTGGGGATTGGTATGTAGAATGGAGACTGGTAGGGTAATTCTTATCACGGAAATATTCGGCATAGACCGGTTGGTCGCGGCTATTTTCCCTCGGTCAGATCATGAATTGCAAAAGCGAAGGCGGATGCCAGTACTTGTACTCGAGCAGTCTACCGTGGTCTGTGATGCGACGGCGCAATTCGAAGGAGAATTGGGGGTACCAAAGGGGCATCAGGGAAGGGATCGAAGAGGCGACCAGTGGCCAGCGGGGACGAGATAGAGGTGTCAGTTATGGAGAATGGAGGGTACAAGTAGAGAGGGGGCTTTTACTTTTATGAGGAAAAGGTGTGGATCAGACGCTGTCGCTGTCGCTGTTCATCCAGTTTGGAATCTCGGGATTGAGAACAGTAAGGAGCTCCTAGAACACCAAAAACAGTTGAAATTGGGGACAATAACGTGGACTCAGGACATTGAGTGAGTGAGATCGGAGTGGAAACATGTACTGCTCTGGAGGTGAAATAGGGTAACCATAATGAAAAAAAAAAAGTGGATAATATACATACGTGACCGGAGACAGGACAGTTTGAGAACGTAGGGAACTCACTAGGGAGAAGCAGCCAGCCAGCCAGCCAGCCAGATAGATGGTGGGCTGGAGGTAGGCAGCTTGGTGGGGTAGTGAAGTAGCACAGATCCACAAGTCGCTGGAGCAGGCGGCTTGGGTTGAGAAGAAAAAGTAGGAGGCAAGCAGGTTGGCAAGTAGATAATTTTGGTAAAGGACGTTTAGACTATAGTTATAACAGGCAAAGAGGCAGAGAGTCAGACAGATAGGAGGTTAAAAAAAAAATCAATAACGCCGTCCATTCATTCAATCCGATTGCGAACCGTGAGTGCTTTGATATTTCTTGATTATTGCCTACCAGGGGGTGGAGGACTTTTTTCTTTCTTTCTCTTTTTCCCATTTTTCGAACGTGCCTGGGGCAAAGATGAGCCTGAGGGATAGAAAAAAAACAATAGGTAGACTAAAACTGAACCTGAAGGAAGGGAAAAATGTGAACAGAGGACAAGGGTTGAAAGTAAAGATAGGTTGCCTTTTTTTTCCGAGCCGTTGACTAAAAGACAGGTGCAGAGGCGGAATGATGGAAACGGGAACATCCGGTAGACTAGGAAAGGAAAGAAATAGGCAAGAAAGGAAAATCAGGAGAAGATGAGCAAACATGGGAAACAAAGAGAAGCAAGAAAGAGGTAACAGAGAAGGTATAGAAAAGGTAGGTAAAGGAGATTCAAAGAAAATGAATATGACAGCAAGTAAAGCAAACAATGCCTTCCTAGGCTAGGTGGAAATTTAACAACTCTAGCAAGGCTGGTCGGGTCAAGCAGTGGTGGGCTGGGCTAATGTCTTGCTAAAAGAAAAAGGGCTTGCTGTAATGTAATTTCACCGTTGGTTTTTCAATTTTTCTTTGTTGTATATTTTGCTTCTCGATTGTTTCTGACGAGGTATCGAAGTGGTTTAGAGAGATCCACTTTCCTTGAATACCAGATGCTGTTCGTAGAAGCGCAACATCTAAGTAGAAGTATAAGTAGAGGGTATCTGGAGTACTTTGTATTTGTCGGGTACTTACGGTCTGCGGGCATTTTCTATAAACGGTACTGATCTCATGCTGGGACTTCCTGCCATTGTTCCTGCACTACTGGTTAGCGCAAACTGCAAAAACTAGTTCTTACAGAGCAAATTACCACTGCACATAACACACAAGACCCTTTTCAGTCTTTTCAATTGTATCAATGCAGGTAATCTCCTCCTCCCAGCTTCCCTTTGGAGGGGTCCAAGAGTCACCGTCAGCGGGAGAAGACTCATTGCCATTTTTGTTGGTAGCGGCAGGAGTAGAAGTTTTGGCTCTCTTTACGGCTTTGGAGGCAGTAGGGGTGGAACCAAGGGAGGTCCTACTTCTCTTGCCTTTAAGGGCAGGGGAAGATTCGTAAGTTGGACGCCCGCCGATAGAAGTGTAATATTGCTGCAAGATCTCTTTCGCGCCTCTGCTCGGAGTTGGGAAATATGTTAAAGGCAAGTGCGAAGAGAAATGAAACAAAATACAAAGGGGTAACGTACTCGCAGTTTTCTTCAGGTTCCCAGGTCATATCAGACTTGCGCTCATAACCCTTCCACTTGACAAGAAGAAACAATTGCTAGACTGGAGTTAGGAAAATTTCATCCCAGAAACTATTGATTGCAGAAAATACTTTGCCATCATAGCGGTGACTCTTAATCCCCTCAACAATATACTCCTCCTCGTCCTCAGGAACATCAGCGGCAACATCGTCATCACCGCTTGCGACACTTGCGACATCAACGTCATTGGTAGTAGCTTTGGCGGCGATAATATCACCATCGCTGTCCGAGTCAGAAGTAACAATCTGGGGAGGCATCTGTGGTGAATGAAAGAATCGGTTGACAATCGATCGTAAAATAGTCGCGGTAGGAACAGGCCAGCAATCTCGTAGTTGCGAAGCCTAGTTGTGGGCAGCGAAAGGTAAAGGAGTAGAAAACAGAGGAAGAAGTGGATTGGTGGTATGAGAAAAGAAAAAGTGGAAGATAGGATGAGGATGGATGTTACGATGGTTGTTGGATGATGATAGTTAGAGTAGGGTAGGGAAACAACGCGAGGAGACGTGACGCGGTTCAAATTTACGGTTCCGGAGTTGGTACGAGGATTGGCGTTCAGCCACGTTATCCTGGCAACCGACTGCGCCACCAGAAGAACATACCGGTAGGTTGAACTGAAAAATGCACTAAATGAATCTGAAATCGAGTCTGATTGGCAATTCAGATTACTGATAAGAGGGAGAAAAAAGCTGATCCTAACAAAAGTGGCTGCTCAGACGACAATGTACAGTATACTATTGTACTGAAGTACCGTACAGTCTTGTCAGAAAAGTCCTGGTAATACGGTCGATCGACAGTGTCGTACTGTAATCAGCATGCAGAAAAAAAGGTCGGTAGTCTATGAACGGTTGCAATGCTAAACACCAGACAATAGTTCGGCAGGGTAACCAGCAGGTACTTAATTGATGAAAAAAGAAAAAAGAGTAAGGCGTCATGAATGTTTGCCAATAATAAAATATTGCTTGGTTAGAAGAAAGAAAAAAAAGGTAGAAAAATATTAGAGATAGTGGAATAATTAATTAAAATAATAGAAGGAAAAGGATTATCTTATATATGTGGTCAATGGTATCTAGTAAACTAAATGACAAGTTTCTGAAACAATACTACAGTGTGGACTAAGAAGTTTCATGTTTGCGATTAATAAATTGGGTATAAAAATCTTTTAAAAAGTGTACAAAGAGTAGGAAAAGTATGGAAGTGAGGAGAAAACCAGGAGGGTAAATGACTGAAATAATAAACTTCCTAGATAAAATCTGAAATATTTTAATAATATTAGAAAATAATAAACTAGAAGTATGATCAGTCTCTGTTACAACTACAGTATCTGAAATTTATTTCCTAATTGGAAATAGATCAACACCAAGTGCTACAATCGGTAACGATCCCTCCTACGATAGTGAGTTCTTGGTGATAGGAAACGATACTTTTCTTCTTCTTCTCCCTGTTGCTTCGTCTTACGATAGCACTAGGCCTCTGCCTACATTACCGATAGTACAAGACTTTTGTCTTCTATTGGAAACGCCTATCGTAAGTTTTCTCTAACTCTTCTGCGTGAAGAGTTCTCCGTAGCGTAACGATATCGTTGCAATAAAGAGAAAGATCGTAAAAGTATTTTAGATTTGTTAAAGTAATAAGTAGGAAAAGTACTTAGAATTCATTCTAATTTTATTTTAACTCCTACCGCCAACACTGGCATATGACGAGCCCCCGCCAGCACAGGGATACTGCTAACTAGTATACTACTAATCCTAAGCTAACTAAGTCTACGGTCCCGTACCTGCCATCCTCGAGTCATGCCTGTACGAGAACTAATTACAAGACTATCAAATAACTCAGCACCCGTCCCGATCCAGGTCCGTAGCCCCTCTGGTATGAAGCTAACCAGAACTAAGCATAGCTGAAGCTGAGCCAAAGACCAACCCGACCAGGTTCCTCATCCAACAAACATAAAATCACTACTATCTGGTCTGAAAACTGTTACGCAAAACCTCTACCACAGTAGCAAACCAACAAAATACAAACTAATCCCACAGGTGACACAAGGGCAGGAAGGAGGCAATCCAAATGTCAACCTCATGCACCCGCATGCCAGGCCATCGACCCTATGAACCCACTTTACCAGTTACCTCCGAAGAGCTTACCAGTGAGGAGGACCTCTACCCACTGCCTGTCCCCCAACTAAAACAACATACAAATGAAATCCATAGAGGTAGTAACAGACCAAAAAGGTCAGTGGGGCCTATCTCACACTTGTGGTACCATGCCTCCTCCCGCCAAACCCATAGCCAAACTAAAGAAACCAAATAAAACTTACAAAATCCAACGCACAAGACCCAAACAAGTCCAACCAGGTGGTCCCAGCCCACTATCCGCACAGGTGGCCATCAGCCAACCGGTCCGTCAGGGAGCTTTACAGCACTTAGCAGCTTCACCCAACAGACCAAGCCGGACTGGAAACACTTAATTAGACCTCGCCCAACCTGATGCAGGTCTGACTGGTGCTCGCAGGAACCTCTCCCGCCCCAATCAGCCCCCTCCAAGCCCGACATGCCAGATGCCACAGAGCCCGTCTAGCCCTCCAGCTCCTCAGACAGATCAACCATCCGATAGCCACAGGACAGCCGATACCTAGCCCCACCAAGCAGTCACTGGTCTTGGCCACACTATTAGAGTCCTAACTCCCAGCTCCTTGCAGCTGAGGGGGACCCACCAGCCACAGCTAGGAGCCATAAAGGAGGTAGCACTAATACTCAAAGGTACCAGTACTAGGGACACCATCCCACCCTGCCAAACCGAGGTCCACTGGAGCTGGGAAAGAGTAAGCAGAGTAAGCAGCAGCCAGCCCTAAAGGTCCGGCGACAAGCACAGACTGAACAATAGGCAAGAGACACCCCCAACTGTCGCGACATGAAGGGGGAGGGCATATGAACAGGAGCAGACAAACAGAAAGTAGACCCCACTTGCAATGGTTGAAGCTGCCAACCACGATCCGCAACTGAACCGCCTAAGCATACTGATAATGCGAGTGTCTGGCAGCCAATTGTCCCACACCACCCCAGGCAGCAACAACAACCACACCATGTGGTAAGAGCTTTCAGGATCATAGCCGTCCAACCTGAGGCGAGGAGGAGACACCTGACTGAACCACGGTAAATGCCGCAAGGACAAAAGCTCCAAGGGAATGGTGATAAACAACATGGTAGAATTTCGACTGTAGAAACTTAATCTAGCGAGGAGGGGCAGGGCAGGTACTGCCCAGCCGCCTAAGAAGTGATGCAGCTGTTACGACGAGTTAAAGACATGGGATGGTCATCAAGCGAACCCGTGTGTGTTTTGCATCATGAGAACTAAGGACTCCATTAACAGCCAACAAGAATATGAGCTGGCCCAAAGCACGACACGGGTAATCCCTCCGAATACCTTGTTCCATCCCCCCACTCGAACGCTAAACCTGCAAGTAGACGATAGACAGGAAGCCAAAGACATTTTACTGAAAGGAGCTCTTCAGTGACCATAATGAAGTGCTCGAAGTGCCAGCATCATGAGATAACTAGCAAGCAACGAAAGGAGAAGCAAACAAGTGATCTGCCATGCAATGCCTAATAGACCTTAACACTAAGAGCTCCAGGAGCTACTGAGCGAACTCAGATATCTCCCTCAGAATATAAAGCATCAAGGCCCATTGTGGGTGCGAAAGAAATGCTGGGGGCAAAGTGATGGCAATGACGAGGAAAAGTATTTAGAACAAAGCGTGAAGAACCTATCCTCCTGGGCTGCATCGGCCTCCTTATATAGTATTCTTCCCACCTGTAGTTATGTGACCTAAAGTGGTTACATGTGTGAAACCAAATCATAACACACTAGTCATGTGACCAAAGTGGTCAGATGCTCAAAACCTATGACCTCATAGTGAGGTCATGGGCAAAAACTCATAAACGAATCATAACACAATAAACAAGTCATATGACTCAGCTGAGTCATATGCGTGAAACCCATGACCTCATAACAAGGTCATGTGCAAAACATAAATCATATACGCAAGGCATACCCGTAAGGCACACTCGCAAGGTATACATGTCAGGTGCAGGTCCTACAACTCATATTTAAGCCATGTGCGAAAGTATCACAAATCCCTCACATAACAAATCATCTGACTCGAATGAGTCATATGTGTGAAACAATAACATACCTGTGACTTATAACCATGTGTCACCTAAAAACCTTTTCCTCGCCAAGCTACATTTGTGACATTAGCTCCTCTCCCCCTAAGCCTGAGTCCCATCAGGCTCCTTCCCTAAGCTTCAATAGTTCCTGTCCTGCTGAGTAGATGGACCTCCGAAGCCTATTGCACTTGTCGTCTGCTGCCCTCCATCTTACCCACACCATTTTCAAGGTGAGGTTCGCCATCTTGATAGTGTGCCTCTGAATATCATTCAGCTGTCGTAGCTCCGTGACCAGTTTGCCGTTTGCTGAAATTGTTTCTTCGGCCTGACTGAGTTGTTTCCTGAGTACTTAGATTTTTCCTGTGTAGGCTCCTGGCATCCGGTTCCGTTTCCGTCGATGAGTTTTGGGCTTCCCCCTCCCTGAACCTCATCCTCGAGGCCCTAGCTTTCGGTCATACCGTGGCATCTTTTCCTTCCAACTCTTTCTTTTTCTCATCCTTCTGCAGATAGTATCGCGCAGAGATTTTTCTCATCCAGTGCATCTTGCATGTGTTGTTGAAGCACTGTTTGTAGTGCTTTTAGAGCATGGTCCGGGCTCAGAACGCACTTTTTGTATGCTCAGGAACCATCCCCAGCCTTCCTTGTCCACGTAGTGTGTGGGACATCCATTGTCGTAGCATTACCATCCATGACATGGCGTTCTGCTGTGCTGGTTTTTCCCTTTCCCTGAGTTCTTCGTCGGTCGGCCCTATGAATGAGTATTCGGGGCTGGTCGGTGTGGTTTGGCAGGGACTATCGCCCCTGCCCTCATGTTGTTGCAATGGTGCGGGAGCCTTTCCTTCGCCTTTGTCTTGGTTGAACTTGATTGTTACCTAGGCTGGGCTTGCCTGGGTATCGCTGGTGGAAGGTTGAGATGGCATCTTGTGCGTCTTCACACTTGTGTGCAAAGTACCAAGTTTTATCATGTTTGGGCGAATATCACGTCCACTTGGCTTGGTATTGGAGGTGACCGTGGAAGAAGTGAGAATCGACTATTTTGTCGAGCTGGTATTGTGGTTCTCTGTTGATTGCGATTGGAGGAGGAGGAATAATTGTTCGAGAGAAACTTATTGTCATTGTGTAATTCGAGTAGTGAGATATGGAATGTGTTGTATATTTGCATTGAGGGTGGAAGGTCGAGTTTATAAGTTTGGCTGCCCACCCTTTCCAGTATCCTGAATGGTCCGATTTTCTTGTAATTCAATTTCTTTGATGGTCGCGTCATATAGATATTGTGTGGTATTAGCCATACCATATCTCGCGCTTGTATGTTCGGATCTGGTCTTCGGTACTTAGGATATTGTTCTTTTTACCATTGTTGTACTTGACTCATTTCATATTATAATGTCTCGGGTAGTTTTCCCATATCTGTTTTGTCCGGTATTATACCATTAATGGTATGATATGTGGTCTGACTTTGTAGATGTTGTCCGTAATTCGCGAAGAAGGGTGTCGTGCCGATCATTTCTTGCTTTACATTATTGTATGTCAATTCGGCTATTGATAGCTGTTTGTACCAATCATCTTGTTGGTAATTGACGTAGGCCCATAAATATTGTGTGACTATTGCTTTTCCATGTTTTGTTTGTCCATCCGTTTGC